TATACATATATAGAAAACTCCCTATAAATTACTACGTAAAACAATATATATATATATATATATATATATAATTTTTTAAAAAGAGAAAAACAAATAAACAGAATCAGAACTTTATAATAATAATAAATTAAATATACAGAAGTCCAACTTTATAAATAAATATTTACGTTTCTTCGCTGCCCCGATGCGGCTGACGGCCAGAAGAGCCCTGACGTTTGCTGGTTCATTTTTTTGGTCTTTTTTTAAAAACAAATTATTTAAGTTTTCCTGTTGTCTAGTCGTTTTTTTCTACCATTTTTCTATAGAGAGATAAGACGAGAAGTGAGACACTCGAGACTAGGGGCTAAACTCTAGAGCCTATAGATGATGAAGACGGTCCTTATAGAACCCCCACAAGACACAAGCAATAAAGTAGTTCTGGTTATTTTATCGGCTATACCGTTTCTGAGAGGTCGATGGATAATAAAAATAGAAAACTTCGAAGTATAACGAGTATTATCACTGTTCACTGGGAAACAGGATTAAAAATGCGGTGCTTTACTTTTATTCATTTTAAAAAGACCATATTACTGCCGGAGAGTCGGAGTGAATAAATTATTTTAAGTTGTTTTTGTGCTCACTGAGTCCCTATTCAAACTTCAAAGTGTTCTGTCTTCTGTCTTCAGTTTTTTGCTTTTTTTTGTCTTTTTTTTTGTTTTAAAACAAATTATTTAGTTCAGTTCAGTGACGAGTTGACGACTTACAAGTCAGTGAAGTCACAAGTCACAACAAGTCACAGAGTGTCAGTCACTGTCAGACTCAGACTGCTAGAGGTGTCAGACGGACAGTCAGACTCACTGAGACACAGTTTACAGTTTCGCACCGCTCAGTAATCAAACTCAATACTTGCTGGAGTCTATACTCTATTTATAGTCTCTATACTACAGTACTGAGTACTCTGTAAATACACAGTTGACACTTGACATTCATGACAGTAGTTTATACAGACGAGCAGTAGTAAATAGTTTTAGATACATACATGAATCACGAACCCCTCTGGCAGTCTGGACTCTGACCTCTACAGAGAAGAAATTAATAGGCTTGATCGAGTGAACGGACTATTGTCGGACAAAAGTCAATATTTAAATTGTACATATACACAATTTGAAACTTCACACAACTCTCTGTCCTCTGAGGAGAGTATTCGCAGCAAAACAGTCAAGTGTCAAGTCAACACAAGTGACACGACGAGATCGAACTCGGGATTTAGATCACTCTAGATCAGACCCTACTCTCTACTAGTACTCTCTTGTGTCTGGAGTCTCAACTACTAGGTCTCTACTATTCCAGAGAGTCTGAGAGTAAGCAGATTAGCAGACTGCCAGCCGCCAGACTCTCCGTAGAGACTGAGAGAGAGACTCTCTACTTTCTAGTCTAGAGAGTAGAGCTAACCAAAAACCGTTTTCCGTTAAAACGTTTTTAAATCGAGTAAATATACGTTTACGTTCAGCATATATTTTATATACGGTCCTTTGTATGCTCATAGGTGCACCTTGCGGGTCTAAACATTTAAGTGTGTAGCGATTTTACCATACGAACCCGTCTTATACAGAGAACAGGTAGGCTCTTCTAATCACTTTATAACCGTTATAACGTTTAAAATAGGATAAATATGCGTTTACGTTCAACCCAACTAAAACCCATAACGTAATGAGCTTAGGAGTAGAGTCTCTCTCTCTCTCTCTACTATCTGTCTCATTCTAGATAGTAGAGAGTTGGTAGTAGTCTAGAGAGTGTGTACTACGTTCATAGTAAGTGAAGCTAAAGTTCAAACAGTTTTCCGGATTATAACTTTTATAAATCGATTAATTAAGCATTTACGTTAAACTTTTATTCTATATACGGTCCTCTAAATGATATTAGGTGCACTTTATGGGTCTACAATTTCAACCGTGATGTTTTCAATATACAAACCAGTCCTATAGAAAGAACTTAGGTAGGTCCTTCTGATCCCATCATAACCGTTATAACGTTTTATATTAGAATAGGTATGCGTTTACGTTGGACTTCTATTCGGTACATAAGTACATTCCCCCATTTAGAAGCGAAGTCTCAACTCTCAACTCTCATCAAGTCTTGAGTCTCGTTTGTTACTGTTTTTGTTGTTTTTTATTCTTGTTTTTTCTAAAACAAAATATACAATATTGTTGTTTGACGGGAAAATAAATAAAGGTAAACGTAGAACGTTGAACGTTTATATTGGCCACTTGGTCCCAAAACCATCATGAGGACCTACTAGGTCAGGAACTGTGAAAACTACCGTATAGCGTCAGATTCTCCGAGACTGTCCTATCCAGGTCGAAATTACGCCGAAAACTATAAACGTATTACGGATATACACAAAAATGTTCGGTCACAAGTCACAACTCACAACTCACAATTTTAAAAAACATTCACAACTTCACAACAACATAACAACAGTGAACAGTCTGAACAATGAACAATGAACAGTGAACACTGACTAACTCTCGACTTCTCACAACACAAGACGGAGAAGGAAGTCTTCAATTCTCCATATTTACACTGTCACACTATTTACAGACTGACAGTGTCACTGATACAGACACAGATACAGTCTCTCGAGTCTCAGGCTCTCAGCTCTCTCCTTTACAATTTATATATAGAGAGTAAATATTATAGAGAGGGAATTTTTGCTCTATAGCTCTCTAAAACAAACTAAGAGATAGAGAAAGAGTATAGAGAATGATGACCAGTCCAGTTAGCCGATTGGTGACTGGTGGTGGGCAGTGGCGAGTTGGTGACTGGAGTTGGAGCTATATCGCTCCGCAACCTTTATGGAAATAAGTACCTTTTATAGGTATTTCATCAGAAAGCAAATCCATTGGTCAAGCTCTCTAAAATCGTAGCTTTTTTTGATTCTGTTAGTTAGACAAGACTAATTTCTATTCGATGATCTACACGCGTGGAAGCCGTGGATAAATGATACTAAATCATTGATGCAAAATAAAAAGTACGTCCAATTGTTCAATGTCGTACGACAATGTACGTGTTACGCGAGTTCAACTTCATGTCCTACATATTGCCAAAATCCAAATGCCAACTGCCAACTTGTGCCAAGGCACAAGTGCAGGGTACGGTTTTTTATATATATAAATAATTGAACTATTGATTCGGATTGGTATGTTGACGACTCGCCGGTTAATGGTTATATTGCAGAAATATAGCCAATTTCAACGACCAGTCGACAATTGGATATGGGGTCCAGGGCGCATCCCTAAAGCTTCACCGTGTTCACGGCAAATAGCCATTATATTACACATATACATAACACGGATCACGGGTGGGGTGGCAGCGGCGTATTCGTGCATATTTAAACAAGCCGGTATGTAGCAGCTGTAGAACATGTGTATTTTATGTCTAGTATTGTCTACCACATAGTATGGGAAGGTTCCCGGGATAGATTCAAATTAGCTGGCTCGTGTGGTATTCTGCCAGGATAGTTAGATAAATTCCTGACAGAGGCACCCATGTATTCCTGTTCAGAGACAACCCGTGCGGCGTGCGACTATATTGTGCGACTATATTCTCTAGTAGGCACCAGTTACCAGTAGGTATATTTTTTATAGTGGTATATAGAACTGCGTATGTCAGTGGTGAAGGAACGCGTTAGGTGAGCTTCTTTTAAAAATATAGAATACAGAAGCACCACCTTCATCTGGATCAGCATTTGCCAAATAGATGAAAACGTATGATTCCCGGGAAATCACAGTCGACCCTAATACGCATAGTACTGTCAATGGTCTGGAGCTGGCTGGACTGGTCAAAGGTCTCTGTGGGCTGAACCATCACATCTGTTTCTGTTTGAAAAGAAAAAATTCTGAAGAGCCTGAAGTAGTCATACAGGAGTTGATCAGCGAAAGATTTCACGGATGCAACTTCCATAGTATACAGTGACAAAGACCCTGTCAATAAAAATGGAACCAGTTTAAAATAAAATGGAGGTATCTAGCATCCTGTGGCGTACGTTCTCGTGTTTTATTCACCTATTGTACTTGAGGTTGAGATGTCAGTACTTCTATTATGTACTCTATATACTACTTTATTCTTCCCGTCAAATTCCAGAGTTTCCACCTTGATGTGCTCAGGATCCTTTTCCACAATGTATTGTATATACTCATCGTATGTGCTAACCCGACTACCGTCCTTGAGCCTCCTCTTTGGAAACTGCTTGCTGAACACACAGCACGGTACGCACGCGAAGCTTTTGTCCGTGCACAACGCCAACTCCACAATCATATCCGTGGCTTGATCCGGGTGCATACCCACCACAACCGAGAATGTTGTGAGGTGTTTGCTGATGTCGCGTGCATCACTTTTCAGATGCTGACTAGTTTCCGGGGTTTCTTCATCGCCTGAGATCGGTTCCTCCTCGTCCGAAAACGGGTGACCTGCCTCCTCGTCCGCGAGTGGCATTCTGGTATAACAGATATACACAGGGGTGTACAGTAAAGCTAAGACTATGCTCGCGCGCGTCTCTGTACGCGTCCGCAATAATTTATATTATCTCACCAAGTGTGATTTGGCGCAAAAAGAAGGTATGAGGGTATACATTTTCATACACACCACTGTTTGTAATCAGGTGAGTTTGTAACGGTGAACTTTTGAGCTGGCCTACATAGGCGAGCATTCACAAATACGATATCCGAGACCACGAGTGTACGTGTACGTTGGAATAGAAAACGCGGCCCATCAGAATACAACGCCGTTATTTTTTGGGAGGTTATGATAACATATTAAGACAGCGCTTAGTTGTGAGTTTACCTAGTGCTCGACAAGAATCCACTTTACACGCTGCAACAACAGTGATGATGATTGGCAAATCATATCATGGGGCAGAGTTAACACAAGTATACAGAAATTTTAAAATCGACATTCGCGTAACCAACGACATTCGCGTAACCAACCCTAACATCGCAGTGCATTCACAAACCAACTTCTGTGCATATGCGCTTAAGTTGATTACATCCGGCTTGTTACTCACCCGACCTCATCAATGTACTGGCAGTATATATACAATAAAGTGGCACATAAGCGGACAGCAAGTATGTAGTTGACAACAAATGTATGTGCATGATATGAATAAACGACCAGATATACACGTGTACGTAAATTGTGAATGCGCTCTGTACACATATGAGCGTGTGTAGTATTTGAATATACACGTGGACGTATGTACACAAAAGCATTCATATCGCGTTCTCTGGTCACTTACATTATATTTCCTGTGCCGTCTGCAGGCTGCAATCCTTTTTTGTTCCATATAAGGCAATCTGCACGCTCTACATACTCGTCGACGATGTCCTGTGTGAGCGTGCCCACTTTCGCGTGGCTCACAAAGTTACGATCCAAACAGATCCGCAGCTGCTGCGGTATCTGTCATGGCCACAGCTACGCAAGTCAGTATGTTTCTGTTATACGACAACACAAAGTGACATTTGTGACACTTTTGACACTTGTGACACTCGCCACAGTGAAGGTGTTGATTCACCACAGAATCGACACATATACTCAGCCATGTGTGAGAAATGCGCTACAGTAATAATGGTATCAGTGTTCAGTCATACAGGTTAAAAGGATGGCACCAAGTATCAGTCATGCAAGGTTAGATACATGTACACGTATTCTTGGTCGCATACCTTTATATTGCTGCCGAAGGTACTGGTGACCTGGCCGATGTCTTTATTCCGGTGAAAAGCGCCCTTCTCTAACAGAAACTTAAACCGCCGTCCTGCGTTGAACACAAGTGCAGTTTGTGTGATTCGGAATGCGTATGAAATTGGCAACGCCAATAAGAGAATCACAAAGCGCAGTTTGGACTATATACAAAGTGCAGGTATGACAGTATAATTGCAATATGCTATACTGGTCCCAAAATGGCACCACCTGAGCTGTGTTTACAAATGCGTGTTGGTGCTGGTGTGTGCAAGAGTGTATGTTCGCAGATACTTTCGAAGGTTTCGCATAATAGAAAGCATCGTAACGGACTGAACGCTCCTTACAGCCCGCATATATATGTACAAAGATATAGAACACGCAGCACCATTTTGCATGTAGCAGCGCATGAGAACATATACATACGGACACACACTCGTACAAGCCCTCCAGCTTTCGCGTGCATGCACCCCTTAAGCTGACTACATGCGTGTACCTGCTCGAGTACGTCTTGGTTCTATCCTTAACGTGGAGATGTCATTTAGATTCAACAGTTCGTAGCTGAGTAGCCCTCGCCCCGCAGCCACGTCCAGCACTCCGCTGCCGCTATTCAACATACCCAAACCAAACGTATTGATCAGGAACTTCCTGAACACTATGGAGAGAGGAGATGTGGGAGCCCTTAAGTACATATCCGTATGTATGCTTGTCTAGAGTGAATGAGTTATTTGTATATAAAAACCAATCGATCATCCGTAATATCTGTATATATGTTTGTGCAGAGAGACTATAATCCATATATATAAACCGTGCAACCATCGAGGATATCAATCATCCGTAATTTGGCAACGCGCCCCCGTCTGCTGCAAACAAGCACTTCAAATTAAAAACCAAGCGACTGGTCCATGTATTCTCAACTGAACGGATACAGCCAATCTAGCTAGGTTTCAATCGGAAATCGTAGACTCAAACAAGGCCTTGGAACATGCCACAGCCACGTGTCCTCTAAGATTTATTTTGGGCTTTACTAGTATAGTACTAGTATAGTATGGGTCATAGGAGACTTGGGACCCACAGATATAACCCGACATGTTGCCCCACTTTTGCATAGAAATAGAACACGCTAGCTACACTGTCAACTGAGAACGATACCTGTAGCTCTACTTTTATTCCTTATCCGCCGTCTGTTGTAACCACGCTGTGCCTTTTGATTGGTCACCTGAGGATCACTGTCTTGGCGATAGTGTCGGAAGTAGCAGCTACCTCTGTTATGAAGTGATTCGACTTTTAGCAACTGTGGCCCCTCGATAATCATGAACTATGTAACAAGTTGTCGTGAATGTCAAGAACGTTCTATCATGTATAATCGTCCATAACCAATGAAGATACGACGCATGACGTCTACTAATTCCAAAGATATGAAATATACACTCAATCGATAA